CTCTGCCGCCGGCACGGCTCACCGGGGCGTCCGCCCGCCCCTGCCAGGCCGGGCCCGGGGCGCGGGGGCGGGCCGCCTCCTGCCGCTGAGCCCAAGGGGGGCCAGTGTGCCAGCGCCGTGCCAGGGTGCGAGCGTGTGAGCACGGTGTGAGCGCAGTGCTAGGGTGTGAGCACGGTGCGAGCGTGTGAGCGCAGTGCTAGGGTGTGATCATGTGAGCGTGGTGCATCACGTTGGCGCCGTGCTAGGGTCCGAGCGCGGTGCGTCACGTTAGCGTCACGTTAGCCTCACGTGCGTGTGGTGTGCGCATGGTGACAGAGTGTCAGCATGGTGCTGGGGTCCGAGCGTGGTGTGTCACGTTAGCCTCACGTGCGCGTGGGGTGCGCATAGTGATAGAGCGTCAGCACAGTCCTGGGGTCTGAGCGCGGTGCGTCACGTTAGCCGCACGTGCGCGTGGTGTGCGCATAGTGATAGAGCGTCAGCACAGTCCTGGGGTCTGAGCGCGGTGCGTCACGTTAGCCGCACGTGCGCGTGGTGTGCGCATAGTGATAGAGCGTCAGCACAGTCCTGGGGTCTGAGCGCGGTGCGTCACGTTAGCCGCACGTGCGCGTGGTGTGCGCATAGTGATAGAGCGTCAGCACAGTCCTGGGGTCTGAGCGCGGTGCGTCACGTTAGCCGCACGTGCGCGTGGTGTGCGCATAGTGATAGAGCGTCAGCACAGTCCTGGGGTCTGAGCGCGGTGCGTCACGTTAGCCGCACGTGCGCGTGGTGTGCGCATAGTGATAGAGCGTCAGCACAGTCCTGGGGTCTGAGCGCGGTGCGTCACGTTAGCCGCACGTGCGCGTGGTGTGCGCATAGTGATAGAGCGTCAGCACAGTGCTGGGGTCCGAGCACGGCGGGGCGGCTCTTGACACAAGCACGAATGCCGCGGGCGTGACCTGCCCCAGTTGCCGAGGGGGTTCGACGTGCTCACTCGGGGGCGCGCCGTTGCCTGGGTAACCTTGGGATCGTTTCGAGGGTGCCGGGGCGTGCAAACACGCAGGAGACACGCGGGGGCGGCGGGTCGGAGAGAGACGCGGAGCCTGGGGTCTTCCCTGGTCTTTGCCAGGGAGGAGCTGCTCTGTTATTGCTCTGCAGCGGGAGGTGGGAATGGAGCAGGGGGCGCGACCCGAAAGCTGGTGTTATTTGGGGGGCGCCTCGTGTCTTAAACGGCCGAGAGTCACCGCTGTAGACTCGTGCTAGACACAGACGAAGCCGAGGAGCGCCCTGCCGGCCTCTGACACGGTTGCAGCGAAACCCAGCGCCGCGCGGAGCTGTTGCTGTCGAGGAGTCGCCCTTCCCTTGCTACAGCAGCGTCCTGTTGCTGTCTCAGCGCAACGCTCCGGTTTATGCCTTGCTCCTCGGCGTGTCCTTCGTCGAGGTGTCGGTGCTCGTCAAGGAGAACCGGATGCCCTGCGAGAAAGCCACGCTGCGCGTTCGGGGTCTTTTCAAGCTCTTTGTTAAATGGTGTGAAATCGCCGGGAGGTTTATTCCCACCTCCTTCTTGCTCTTCTGTTTGTAAAACGGGCAGAGCCATTCCAGCGTATTTGTGGCTTACTCTTCGGTTTGCTGAGGCTCGGCGACCGAACACGTGTGTGTGGCAAAAACGCCGGTTTCCTTCCAAACCATCCCGAGGTGTCGAACGTGGGTTATAAGGATATTAAGATGCAGAGTCCAAGGGCTGTCTCTCTTGATATGCTTATAGCCTCATTGCGGAGAGAGAACTGTTCCTCCGTCTAATTTAATCTATGGCTAGTAATAGAGGAAGCAGCATAGTGCAGGCAGCTGAAGGGATGGTGAGCAAGGAAGAGAGTAGGAAAGGAGGTGGGGGGTTTTAAACCATGCTCTCTCTTTCCTGTTCATTGAAGGCTCTTCTTCCCTTCTGCCCATCCCCAAGGGATGCTGTTACAAGCAGAATTGTGGGCCTTTATTCACTTTGTAGTGGGGGATAAAGAAATACATAATAATACCCAAAAAACCCTCCTTGCATGGGTTTGGTATTTCTCATTTAGATTTCAGCATGGAGTGGGCCCCGTGCAACTGTAAAGGGATGGAAGAAGTACCCCAATAGTGATGAAAATGAACATATATCATCAGCCCCTGTGTGGCCACAGACCAGTGATTACGTTTTCTATCTGAGAAAGGGGAATATTGCTACTTGCACACCTGTCAGCTCTTCACATCCGTTGTTGAAAAGTGCTGCCTAAAGATCCATCATAGCGTTAGCCCGTGGAAGGGTACAATTAATTCTGCGCATACTAAATAGCAAGGAAGAGTCCCGCATGTTCTCTTTCCTAATACTTTCTCTAATCCGTATGGTGGAAGAATTGCTTGGGCAAAGCTCCAGGGGTATTTGGGATTTAAAAAAAAGAAAAAAGCAATTTAAAATAAATGACCTGTAGCTGGACAGCAGCACGCCTTACCTGTGCGGCTGTGGCTGTTGCCAAACAACACACCTGCGATATTCAGCAGCAGTCTTCAGAGGGACCGATTCCTGTTGTGTTGTGCTGTACTGCTGCTTTATCTCAGATAAACTTATGGCATCGAGCTGTAAGGCTCCCTCTGTAATCTTTTACAGCCAGTTTTGTTGGCTGAGACAAGGGAGGGGGCTTTGGAAAGCTTTTCCCATTGCTCGTTCCACGCTACAGAACATGTCAATGGGAGGGGGAAAAAACCCCCAACCTGTTTGGGGTCAGAAGGCAAAGGCTTATGAATGTGGGCTTCAGGTTTTGAGCGATGAATGTACTTCCTTCCCATGCTGCAGCTTGGGAGTTTATTTGGCTTATGGTTTAGTTTGAATTGCCCCTCTATTTTTTGGCCTGGTTTTGCTGACTTTGTGCTATGATTTTAACTGAAAATCCTTTGCAATATAAAGAATTCTTGGCTTGCCACAGGGAAATCAAGCGCCAAAGGGTATCTTTACGGCCGGGAAGCTGACTACATGTTGATTCTCCGATTGGCTTCCTAGAAGCGTCTGTTCAGTTGTCTCTGAACTCTTTTCCGTTGCTGGCAGTAGTACGGTTTCTGTGTTGGTAATTGCTTATTCTCTGTAGTATCTTACAGTAGAGTAACCCGGTTCAG